AAAAAAAAAAAAAAAAAAAAAAAAAAAAAAAAAAGAAAAGAGAGAATCATGATTATCATAGACTTTGTAATAATTTTCTTGATATGATCAAGAAAATAACAAAGGTAAACACTCAATGTTTAAGGCTATTACAAGGAAATTTGTTATTCCAAGTTAATGTTGGGAAGTTCCAAATAAACTAGGGCGTCGTAGTCCGGGGTTTCGTTTTTTGTGCTGGGCCTATGGGCACAGAAACATTTGTTTTTGGTGAGTTAGGTATAATCGGAATTTAGTGTTACATATGCCATTGGTGGACCTCGTCATGATTGACATTGGTGAAACACGAGGTGAAAATGCACGTTGAGATCTGTAAGATCGGGATACGGAGGAGGTGAAAGAGCTTGAACATATGTGGTTTTCGTGGTAAGAGTGCCTTAATCCAACTTACTTTAAACTTAATTTGGTAGTATTCTAAGCAGATAATTAGAAACTGGTGCTAAATTAGAAACTTTAAGTGCGATTTTTGTTTTTTGATACAACTCGAATTAGTTACGTAAACAAAAGATCGTAAATGGACAGGCCAGGAATTTCTACTCCGTCATTGATGTAAAATAGTACTCGCACGAGTTTTATATTATTTTATTAGCAAGAAAAATGATATTTGGTTTGATTAGCAAAACATATTTATTTCTAGTCGAATATTTTTATGACAAAAACGTATTTCATGCCGTAAGCTTGAATGGGGGCGGGCCAGGAATTTCTACTGCGTCATTGATCTAAAATAGTACTATTGGTATTGACTAAAACAAGGAACGACCTAAAACGACCTGAAACCATCTTGAAACCACCTGAAACCAGCCAAAACATTGAATCTCCATCGAGTTTGTCGTCCACTTTGTGTATTTTATTGGCTTTTATCGATCGATTGAGTGTTTGTTTTCCTTGGAAGGGATGTACTTCATGGTAGAATGTCATATAGTCGCTCATACGTATAGTCTCCCATAGAGGTATTCCACACTGTCTTATACCTCACTTTTCCCTTGCTATGATTACCTGTTCCTAGCTATGATCAACCGTCCCTACCTATGATCAACTGTTCCTAGCTATGATCAACTGTCACTAGCTATGATCAGCTATCCCTTAGCTATGATCAACTATCCCTAGCTATTTTCAACTATCTCTTGCTATTTTCAACTGCCCATAGCTGTCATCAACTGTCCCTAGCTATTTTCAACTATCCCTAGCTGTCATCAACTGTCCCTAGCTATGATTACAATTTGAACATTTTTTACATACTTTAACGTGTAAATTTGTTAAACTTAACATTGGCGTATCTAGGGGGCTCAGGGGTGCCTGTGACCCCATTTTCAAAGCCAAAGATAAATCATCTGACCGTTGATGCAGTATGTGATATGATGTCATAGTGACAATTTGGTATAGTGTGACCCGCACGCCCCCCCATGACAAATCCTGGATAAGCCCCTGCTTAACGTAATTCAGCCATGTTGCCTGCAAGTTTTTAAGTTCATTAAACTATATAAGGGGAAGTTAATCTATATATAGGAACAGTAAACCATTAGTAGAGAATGGTGAAAATAGCTAGGGATAGTTGATCATAGATATACGTTTTTCGTAATATTTCCATTCTGAGGTTACCCTGCGAGCAAAGTCTCCTTTACCTTCCCCCGAGTGAGAGAAAGGAAAGAGTCTTCTTCTCTTTCTCTCACTCGGGGGAAGGTAAAGGAGACTCTGCTCGCAGTGTATTCTGAGGTAAATTTTCGAGACCAAACTTTTTCTGTAGATGGAGAATCTTCTGTACAATAATGTTTTGTGTGGTGTTTTTGAGCCGATGGAGCCACCATAACACTGGTTCTCAGAGAGACGGAGGCTTGCTTTGGGGTTTGCGACCAAGACCCGTTTATGCTGGTTCAATTTGACCGTAAAAAATATTCAAACCGAATCCACGGACTTTCTTCTGTCTTACAATGACTAAATCCCAAATAGTCTTCTACTCTATTCCAAGTATCCAATGTGCCCAGCACATTTGACACGTTTTCCCGTGTCAAAACTTGTTATTATTAGACTTGGCGTGATGTGAAAGAATCATTTTTTGGGGGTCTCTCACATGATTCAAGGGTTATTTTCCAGGTAATCTGATTTTCTGTCCTCTGCATTTGATCTGTCAGTTAGCTATGCCCTGGTCTTGATCGATTTTTGGGTGGGCTTTTAGTCGGGGAACCTGTAATTGGTTCCGTCCTATTAAACAGTGTTAAATGGAGTTCTTTTCAGTTCTTTGCGACAATAGGTGGTAAAATTTTTAAACACATGGTTGACAAAGTGCTAAGAAGTCGCAAGGCCATACTACATCAATGGAGGAGGCTTATATTTGGGGGTGAGAGGGGTTAATTTGGGTGGGGAGCGCATATCAGGGGTTCTTCGATATGTCAAATACGAGGCTCCTTATTTTCTAATAATATAAACCGACATACCTTCGCATATACTCCTTACGACGGTATCTATTCTTCGTGCAAGTTGTCTGAAATCGGATGCCCTGTAGACGTACTTGGAGCTTGTTGCTATGTCATTTAGCTCTTTGTTTAAAACATATCTTCTAATTCCCATTGCGTAGACACTGATACCTTTAGCTTTAAGTCTCCCAGAGGCAGTGGCGAGAGGAGTGATGGTACCCCGGTCGCGTGTTTGCCTTCCATCAGTTATCACAAAGGCCATCTGAAAAATAAGAATTATCTTAATCATGTTCATCATGTTCATCATGTTCATCATGTTCATCATGTTCATCATGTTCATCATGTTCATCATGTTAATTATGCT